TAAATAGTTTTTTTAACTGCTCTGTTTATATAAAAGGAAACTTTTACCAAGTAATGAATATCGAAGAATTTTATAATAGTTTAACGTATTTGTAACAGTGCAATGTTCTATAACAATTACCTCTTAACTTATTCAGAGATCATTTACGTCGATGTACGAGTATGTAATAAATTTCATGTCGGTCTGCTATTGACATTTCTTGAGCGGTCAAAGAAGTGTGTGCTTACGCTTTATTATAATAGTATAGATACTCGTATATAACATTTGCGTATAAACCGCAATAACAACTTACATATTTTATTATGAAAGTATAGATCGATTGTGTGAAAGATTTTATGCTTAACAAGTGATTTAACAGTAGTAGAGCCCGCTTTATGTCCGTCTCCTCCTCCGTCGACTAAGGGTAGGCAACGCATCTGCAATTGCAGATGTCTATGAGCAGCGGTCGCTTCGCCATTGCGGCGGTTTCCGGTGACTGCTTGCTCGTTTGCCACCTTCCTTTAAAAAAATCAGATATGACGGCTGATAGAGATATATAGAATACCAATACATACCGTGCTGATATCCATAGGAACAAGGGTAGGTTGATGATGATCACAGCGACATGCGAAAAAGTAGTTAACCCATGAAAGGTTAGAAGATCGTCAGCAGTTTGATTTTTTTAATTTCTCAAGGACGATAGTTAAACTGTCTCCTAGATAGCGTAGGTTCATGAACATTTTTTTTGGACTATTTTTTAAAATATTTCTACATCTGCTATGACAGATGCTGTTATTTGAAATCGATATATCATTTTAATCGCGTTCTCGTTTTGTTTGAACTAATCACCCGGTAGACTTCACGCCAACATTGTATCACAATAAACTCCTCGTTTTTATTACATAACGTCACATTTGCTCCAGAGCTGAGTAAAGGGGCTCCTTGTTTATGTGAATAGGTTATCATATTTGTGTTCTGAGAGTTATCTTAACTAGATAGCACACAATCGACTCTTTTGAGACAAATTTGCACATTTTACTTGACAATAATGCTCTGTTACTAACAAACTAATTTAATAATTTACAATTAATAATGTAATAAAATACAATTTTAAAACGCTCAGTTTAATCTACGCGGCATACCACATTGTTTGTACTGTGCGTTGATTGTAAAGAAACAAACGATCATTAAGATTTCTATTATTCTGTAAATGAGGGCTGAGCAAGACAATTTCTATTATGTTAAAACTATTCCTTCCCTAACAGTCTCAAGAGAGTACATTGATAAAAGTTTGCTACAAAGATTCTTTAACTATAGAGTCTTGTAAATGACAAACGTAGTCTGAGGCATTTCCTACTTACAAGTACTTCCTTTACAATTTGCGTTTTCGTTTTCAAAAGGAAAGAATTTCCCTTTGATGTGGACATATTACCTTGCTGGTAACCCTAAATGCTCAGAGGCGCCATCCTGTCAATGTCAAAAAGGTGCCAAAATATCCTTGCGGCACTATATTAAAGATAAACGCACCATTATGACGGGAATTAGTAGACTGAGTATCGAAGAACATTTACGTTGTTACGATTATATTATCGTCTAAAAGAACATACAATAAAATTGTATGGTACATAAGAATGGAGCATCCTGCTACAAGTATTAAATACTTATAAGGATGTTCCTACAGCTGATGTATGTAATTATGTTATGTTTTTTGTATGATAAAAAGTACCTTATCATACAGGCCTTTGATATGACGGATATGTTGACGTCCCGTGCCTGTACAAAGTTCTATTACATTGTATTTTATAAGTCGACTAGATGTTCCCGTGCGGCTTCTTCCGCATGAAATTATAAAAACTTTATTTTATCGTTTACATTAATCAAATTCTCAATTAAGATAAGATAAGGTAAGATAAATTGTCATTCACAAATGTCAAAATTACCGTTACCATAAGGAGCTTGCTTCCTTAATGTTGGCAGCATGTTTAAGATCCCTTTCCCATATGAAGGTTTTTCTAATTTATTTACCCCCTAAGTTTGATAGCGTGAAAATATATACGCTAAAGCGTGTCGTAAGTGTAGGGTTTTTAATTATAGAAAGAATTATAAGAATTAGCTGTGATTGCTGACATCCTACGCCACGAAGTAGAGTGTGTTTACGCTTTATTATAGTTTAGCGATTAAAATCGGCAGGTTCATTTACATCGCCTTATATTCGAATTTCAATAAATTTTAATAAAAAAAATATTTTAATACAAAATGTAAACCTACTTTAAGACAAAAAATACGATTTTTGATTCGCTTTTGTTTAAGAAAAACTCAAAAACTACATGACAGTTTTTAATTAAAAGAAAATGGAACCAAATGGCAGCTGTACAGCTTCTAACAAAAAAATAATCAAGTAAACCGGATCTTAAAGGTCTAAGAAATCGTTCTACATAAAAAAACGTATCCTCTACAAAGGTAGCGTATCAATAGCACATTTCTAGTATAATAGTATTTGAAAGTAATTTATTTAAATGTTGCAATTACGTCGACACTGCTCATGGTTTATGCATACCGTTTACTTGTTACCGTTTAATCGCACATTATCTATTAACGTGTAATTCCACTGGAGCGTAAAGTCACGCGATTTATCAGGAAAATCTAACAAATCACAATCCTTTTTATCAGTATATGTTAGTATATGCAAGGCTATGTTTAATTGATCTCTGAAGTGAGCAATTTTTGGAGCAAAAACCCCTCATCGAGTTTCCTGAAAATATTGTCACCAATCGATAGTAGGTTTCTATCGTATCGATATCGTATCGATTCTATTTATTTATTTATTTAAAACTTTTTGCACAAAAATTACATAATAATAATACAAATGTTTAAACTAATACAAAAAATAAAAAAAAAATATACAGACGAATTAAGTACCTCCTTCTTTGGGGAAGTCGGTCAAAAATATGTGCAAGGGCGGCCATATTGCTATGAGCAATTTCTTACAGGCAATCTTATAAGGTACGGGTTTCTTACCACGGTTGGGTTGTTTTAGCTAACCGATATTTCGATTTTTCCGCACTACAGCATTCAGTCAGCCCGTGAACATGGCATGCAACTATGCCGAAATATCGGGAGCTAAAACAACCCAATCGGGGTAAGAAACCCGTATCTTACGAACATTAGATTAAGTTTTTTTTTTAAATGGTCTATCAAAAGCCATGGTCCAGTATCGGACGTAGAGTATACCAACAAATCTCATTTGTCAATAACGTTACAAATGCGATATCGCCACTATACCGCAAATGTCCTAGAAACTCTTTATTCAAAACTCGCTGTTCCCATGCGACTTCCGCATGAAATTGTAAAAAAAATCATTTTATTGTTCACATTTGTCAAATGATCAATAGCAAATGTCAAAATGACATGACATGATGACATGAAACCATGGCAACCTTTCTTTCTTGATGTTGGCAACAACTTATGGTCTCTTTCACATTAGGGTTTTTATCCAAAATATTTACCCCTAACTTTAACGGTGTGAAAATATATGGCCTAAAGCGTGACGTAAGTGTAGGGCTTTTTATTAAAAAAGAGTTATTCGACAATATGCTGAAATTGCTGACATCTTAGGCAACAAAGTGTGTGTTTACGCTTTATTATATTAGTATAGATTGTAAACAAAAGTTGGTGTAGTCTTTTGTTTTGTACAAGTGTAGGCTTGTAGTGTCGCTAGGAAAGGAAGCGATTAAATTCGTTATACCATGACTGGAAGGAAATTGCACGTAATCACCTTTCTTGTTGAACCTCTCATTTTGTCTCATGGAATTATCTTCTATTCAAATCCCTTGTTATTCAGGTTAAATTCTCGTCATTTTAGTTCTAACTAGATGTTTCTTTTTAAAAATTTGTTAGTAGTCAAAATAACTACTGAATTCATGTAATTGTAGTTCGACAGAATTATTTAATTTCACATTAAGTAGATTTCCGTCATAAACGTGTGATCGACCACATGATACGTGGAGTTTAATAAACGGAAGTTATGTGTCAATAAACAATTAAATATGCCGCAATAAAACGATATCAGACAGCTTTGAACGTTTTCTATCTGTCAGAGCAAACCAAACCGTCTAGACCTCCCCTGCGTTACGTGCTCTAAGCTGTATGTCACGATTGAACGAGGTTAGTGCAATGTCAGGTGTCTGTTTATATTGGCCACCACTGAGTGCACATGTGAGAAAATGTAGACATATATAAATAGTACAGCGCGTGGTACGTACATATTACTACTTGGCACTATCGTCAACTCAAACATTCGCATAATACAAGTACTGTGTTGTAACAAAACGACGTACTCTCCCGGATGTAGTCGTTTTAAAATCAATTTTATTTCCTGGTGTTTAAATACATTTCTGTTTGATCAGTTATAATATTTGTAGTTGTGTGAAGAAAATAAACATTACTATAACGTAGGATTTAAATAAAGATCGTGCGACAATGTAAGCGACTCGTTTGTCTTCGTACACAATTATAGTTCATTACTTCCTTATTTTTTTGCTATTATGCGTTAAATTATATTATTTATTTATATGTACAACTAATGTATTTATATGGTCGGTGCAGAATTTAAAAAACTCTTCTTTTAAATATTCCAAGTGCACCCTTCCGTCAATTATTTCAAAAGCCGGCAACGAATCTATATCGTACATCTATAATCGTTTTTATTACCGCTTCTCTCTTCATTTTTACTATATTATATGATACTACTTTCGCCCGCGACTCCTTCCGCGTGGTATTAAAAAAACAAAAGTAAGAAGCTTATGTGTTCTTCGAGACTATAGTCTGCTATAGTATACTCAACATCTATGTCAAATTTAATCCAGATAATATAATAATTCACCCGTTTAGACTACAAACTCTAAGAAACAATCTATCTAAACTGTCACATTTATAATATGAAGTAATATTTGCGAATGTATTTGCTTGCTATGTGATCGTATATATGAAAGTGTATTGATTATCTTTTGTGCTTTATGTAGCTCAATGGGTGGTGCACCAGTGGCGGTTGTACGAGCGATCACTATGCTCCCTGCTGGAGCTGCAAGCACGCAAGGACACATACTGCTGTTCTTCACAATACGTGCTCACTCCGCAGTACGACCAGCACCTGGCGCCGCTGCAACTTACCACGCGGCGCAACTCGCCGCCGCCCGCGCACTTGTAGCGGTACGACCACGCGCCGAACTTGGTGAGTAAAAATAACTAAAGACATTACTTGAAAACATCACCATCAGCATAATCATCAACTTTTACCTACCCACAGACATTTCTTCAATACATTAATAAGCGTACGAATATAAAGAAAAACGGTTAGAAAGACAATCTTGCTTATGCTAGTATCACAAGGGTAGACGACAATTGCTGTCGCATAAGTATTGTTCCGTCTCGATGCGTTATTATTCTACTGTGTTACTGTTGTGTGAGCATTAGGATTGGCAACCGGTGCGGCGTCGACAGCAACCGTTGAAATAAAAGATTCTACATCGAACGTGGACCGTGTCTTATGGGAATTACAAAAAAAATTTGCTGAAAAGTTGGAAATATACAGTCAGTTTTTTAGTGCACAAGCACTAAAAAACTTTTGTGTGGTGTAAAATTTGCTGTATCTACTTTAGTATGAGATACCGATACAGTGTATTGTAATTTTTATTACTAGCAGTTCCCGTGCGGCTTCATCCGGATAGAATTATGAAAATTCAATTTATCAATAGCAAATGTTAAAATGACACGTCATGTCAAAATCACAATGACATGACAATCTTGATTCCTTGATGTTGGCAGCAATTTATGGTCTCTTTCCCACATTACGGTTTTCATCCAAAACATTTACCCCTAAGTTTAGTGGCGTAAAATATATAGCCTAAAGCCTGACGTAAGTGTAGGGCTTTTTATTAAAAAAAATAATTATTCAAAAATATGCTGTAATTGCTGACATCTTAGGCAACAAAAATAATTATTCAAAAATATGCTGTAATTGCTGACATCTTAGGCAACAAAGAAGTGTGTGTTTACGCTTTATTATAATAGTATAGATTTAATATATCCTACAACTGCCACTTACCTGCCAGAGTATCCTGCGCTTTATCTTAACGATGCCATCAATTCTGCGAAGAGCCCGAATGATAGGTTATAAAGTCTTTCTAGTGATAACTATAAAGCTAAACTCACCATTGTAAACACCGCTCTACCCCTCACTTATTACCTATAAAGACTGCAATACTTTTATATTTTGTATTCCGGATTTACTGTTGATTGTTTATTCATTTGTCAAATTAAATTTTTAATGAATTTTCTTTTCGGTAATACATGAATGTATTAGTTAGGATGGATGTATGGTGTGACAAGAAGATATAAAGTTAAGAATGTTTATGTGGCGGAAAAATCGAGAAGTAAATGGTTAGCGTGTTATGGACTTGGTAGATGGGGAAACACACCAAAAAGGGGTAAGATTGGCCTCAAATGTAGAGGAAAACCGAAGAAAGTACGGATGGACTGTGTGAAAGAGTATATGTTTAAGAAGGGAGTGGATTCAGATATGACGGCTGATAGAAATGTATGGAAAACCAACATATACCGTGCCGACCCTTCGTAGAGATAAGGGCAAGTTGAAGATAATGATGAATGTATTAGTTATCTCTTATTTTTCAAACGTTATGGGAGTATTTCGTAAAGGTTTCTATAGTGGAAAATCACAGTGGCGTCAAATATCCGACTAGAAGTACATTTTTTTCTACTTCTAATTTTTTTTTTCAAACACCATGTATATAATACAACACTCTGTATAGTCTGAATTTTAATGTACTATTTCGTAATAGTGAAAACTGAAAAGCAATTTCTTAAAACCAAAAGTAGATATGTAGCGTGTTATGTGCAACAGAGGCGTCTGGCGTAACGCGTATATGTACTATCTATTTTCTAGTAACCCGGCTTCCTACCACTTCAGAGTTGCTTCAGTAATAAAACTACCGGTGCAATAATAGCTGTCTTATACTTTCACGCCTTCGTAGCCGCGGCAGAGGGAGACAGAGTTACGCTTTTATAGCGTCCCGCCGTTTTTCCCCCAACAAAAATTTTAACTGCAAAGCACTCGTAAACTTTAAGCAGTCTCGCATCGAGAGAAGTTTTAATACGATTTGTATAGGTATATATTTTATTAGATTAAGAATTTTCAATGTGACAAAATGTGACTATTTTTGACGACCAAAAGCTGATTTACTTTCAAATATATTCAGACTTACTCTTTGGCTCTTTCACCTTTAACTAAATTTTCGCATAACTCTTTAGTCGCGCTTTCATTCCTATGACCGTATATGGTGGTACGTACACTACTTGAAATTTAGTTGTGAAAATAAACAGTTGAATGGGCTGCGAAACAATCGACAATCGCACAACTGTTTTGTGATAGTTTAGTCAAAGGTGTTCGCCCGCTCTAACATCCAAACTGATGAATTATCTATTAGGCTTTTCACATATATTGGAGGCCAAAGGTCATCCGCTGCGTTGTGTCATCCTGCTATACGCTACATTAGTTGTATGTGATCTGCGTTCATACGCGTGAATTTACGTACCACCAAGATATATGAAAACTTTTGTATGACGTGAAGCCATTTTGTCCATTTTCCCTTTTAATTTTATTGCTTTATCTCCCTGAAGTGTCGCTGATATAGGTTATAGCTAAATAGTCCATAGTACTCGTCATAATACTGATTCATTTAAAAGGCATTTAACTAATAAATATTTTTTATTATCTCATTTATATTCAAGGGCATAGTATAAAGTACACAAAGGAGTTTAATAGTATTTGTCCAATGACCTACCACAAGGCGAGACCCATTTAAAAATGGAACACTGGTACCAGACGCTCGTAAAACCTTTGAGTGCTTGCCCTTCTTTATATCGACAGTCGGGGATAAAAGTCAGTTGCTAATTTATTATATATACTTCGAGTGCCGTTTACTTTAGCAAATACATTTTGATTACAGAGTCATAGGGAAAATAAATGAGATAAAAAGTTTAAGGGACTTTTGGTAGACAATTTACACTTCGATCGAGATATAGTAAAATAATTTGAATTTAATATGCAAACTGCAAACGTTTAAGGCAAGATAGATGGATGGATGTTCGAAGGTATCTCCAGAACGGCTCAATGTAATGAAATTAATTTTGTTAGTGGTGTGAAACGGTGAATGCATCGACACTACATGGTTTTTATGTGGATGTAATTTGTTAATTAACCACAACAATGGTGCTATAGCAAATGTCAGGTATAAATATATCGATGATGAAACGCTGTCACTGCACTAGTGTAGCGTCTGCCGATCGTAAAACTTTTCGCGCGTAAACGTCACTTTTGACATTCGCATCTGTAGAATTTATGTTGGAAGTCTAACCTATGGAAACTGTGTCCAAACAGTGATATAAAATATGCTATCATTCTCTCAAATTACCATTAATCTATCTTATTAGAGGTATCATAAGCAGTACCGATTTAAGGGATACTAGCACCCTAGGTGCCGGTTTTTAATAACTTTTGAGCTTATGTAACAGTGGTAGAGCCCGCTTTAATATCTTCGCACGAATGGGCCGGCTCGCCCGGTGTAATACCACGACCCGAAGGAAAAGGATTTGACGGTGGAGGAACGCATAGGAAGGGGAAATGTCCTCTTTATGAGCGTCTCCTCCTCCGTCAATTAAGGGTAGGCAACGCACCTGCAATTGCGGATGTTTATGGGCAACGGTCGCTTTTTATTTCGGTGGATTCAGGTGCCCTCTTGCTCGTTTGCCACCTCATATTAATTGAAACTGTGTAATTTTTAAATGCAAATTATAAAGATAATTGCAAATTATAATATTGATCATAAAAATATTCTATATCTTAAAGTAAATCTAAAATTTACGTTCGTATTGAAATGCTTGGACAATATTTTATAGGTTATTTTAGGTAGATACGGTTTACGACTGGAGACGGGCACGGCTCTATCTGTCTAGATTTTATATGACCTAGCGTAAGTCTATTTCGAGATAATGTTATGCTTTTATATTGAGCAGTTAAAGATATACCTCCATGGAGTTTAAAGGTAGAAGAATCTTTTACTTATTTGAATATTGTTTAATTAACTTTGATATCTTATTTTTTAAAAAAAATCGTAAGCAAATCGTCATTTTAACATTGGGTTTTAACTGTTTTCATTTTTCTCATTCCTTACACTCTCTTTGAGAAAATAACAACAATATATGTTTAAACAAGTGTCACGAGAATCAAAAGCCACGGTAATATGTTTCAACCGACAAATCGTTTAGTAACCGAGAAAACAAGTGATGCGGGAGAGTAAATAGTAGGGCTTCATCTTGGCCCTGCTACGGTTACGGATTAGCAGCTTAACGTCTCTGTATCGCTGGAGGCATTACTGATACACTGCCAACGTTGTCCATTAAAAAATTAAAACATTAACAAATTGAATTAAAAAAAACCTTTATTGATCCAAAACAGTTTTCTACAGTTAGTTTACTTTACTCATGTAGCTTTTTCTATATTATAAGGCGACAAATGAGCAAACGGCTTGAATCCTCCGAAATGGCAAAGCGACCGCTACCCATAGACATCAGCAATTGCAGATGCGTTGTCGACCCGAAATCAACGAAGGAGACTCACATAAATAGGGTATTTCCCATCCTTCCGTCTTAAAAGGGTGGAAAGGAAAAAGACAAGCCGTTTAATGTGAAGTAAGGGTAGCTATATATAGCTAGGGTAATAAATTTAGTAACTAAAACATTCTATTTCACAAAAAGCACGCAATATTGTACATAATTAATATGTTTTGCAAGTTGAATGCTAACATTGACTAATGAATTCGACTAAAACGGCAGCAGGCGGCAGGTAGGAAGTGGTGGAATGCGATACTCGGCCAAAAAATAGAACAAAATACATTAAAACCCCTGAATAATTTACTAATCTACTTAATTTTCGTTGTTCAGACAGGTTTCGTTCCTAAATAACACTGTACTCAACTTGATAACTAGCCTAGTACGAACTAGGCATAAGCGTTGCCCACCCTGGCAACAAATTCGTGAGTCGCAACTTCAAAAACAAATTGAAATCATAAAACCAATGACAAACCGGTGGGATATTTTTTTGATAAATACCCGCTGCCTGATTGCACACAATCTTTGTAAGGTTCAGATTTAAAT